GCATTGGCGCCGCTCCTTAGAGGCCCCGTTAAGAGCGCACTTGCAGTTAGAAATGTCTGTGCATACAATTGCTGTGCCACCCACCCACACACACACGTACTCCCTTCGATAAGGTGTCAGTTCACCATAGATTTTCATTCTTATTCCCTCTTTTCATCATTATTTTCCTTTCACAGACAGTCCGTCTTTCTACTCGCCGTTAATGATTTATTTGGCCCACCCCATTTGCATTCGGCTTCAACCCTGCTCCACAGCCGATCGCTCGAGTGTCCGTCACAGCTCCCACTCACTCGGCCCTCACACGCAAAAACAACAACTAATAAACTCACACAAACACACAAGCATGCACTTCTAATCTCATCCATCAACAAAGCAAAAAAATTTCAAAACCCACCACATAAACACAGAAAGACAAAAGAACAGCACCACAATCACAAAAAGCATGCGCCCGGCCGAGGTTTTGCCCCTCCCATTTCTACCAAGAGTGAAAGCACCATAATAATTGATGACATATTAATTTGACACGCCAAGCATCCCCGCCACTAAATTGCAGCTTCACTCCACAAACTAATCCAGAAATAAAATTTAAAAAACACACACGGCGATAATGACCAGCTGGCGTTGCGTGCTGATCAAGTGGCAGCCTTTACGGTGCTCCACAACCGCCAAACTCCTCTGCGTGGAAGGTAGTGCGGGGTTGGGGGGATGTCAAAATAACAAAAATAATATGCTCTCGTGCTGTCTTCTCCAACGCGGCATCGTTGAAAAAAAAAGGAAAAAAAGAAGAGAAGCTAAACAAGAGTCGCACCGTCACATTTCCTAAACCCAGCCGCTCTCATATTTGCTCCAAACACTTTTATACAAAAAGTAAAAATAAAAACCGGCTCTCGTTTCTTTCAAAACAAACAAACAGAAAAAAATTCTTTTTCACGCTCTCTCCCCCACCCCACATTTTACTTACACTCTACACCTTTGCGCCGCCACCCATTGGATGGTGAAGGCGCTCCACGGCGTCGTTACTACGCATAAAAAAAGAAAAATGATATTTTGTCTCGCTTTGCCTCCCGTCTAACCCATGTCGAGAAAACAGTTCACATTTCATTGCTATTGGTCGTTGCTGCACACTTTTTGTATTAGTTTGAGTTGCTGCTGGTATTGTTTTTGGATTTTCTAGACTTCCCTCCCCTCCCCCCACCCACAAACGCGTCGTTCACGCCCCCGCCTCGCCCCCCTCCATTCCACGTCTAACGCACCGAAACCCCACCCCTGAAGGCACCACACACACACACACGCACAGCAAACCAATGCAGCTCGGCGGCGGCGGCGCATAGGAGGGGAGACAGCGGAAAGAGAGGCAGAAAAACACAAAAAGGAGGTGTGGCACCAACTGTCGGAAGTATTAATTACTCCGGCGCGGAACCCCGCAAGCCTCGCCCAACCTTCAAGAAGGTTGGAGCATCCCCATGCACCTGCACGGAGGGAAATGGGGGAATTCGTGAGCAAACAAAATGTTCAGATAAACAAAAACACGGGGGGGGGGGGGGGAACGCAGAACTCTGTTTCATAAAATCAAAAAACTCACTCCGCAAAGCCAAGAAATAAGAAGTAAATATATAAAAAAAATGATGGGGACTCAGAAGTAATATAAACAACAACAAAGAGGGCCCACTGCCCCGTTTCAAATGCGTGGACAGTAACGGTTGAGAGAGAGAATAATAATGAAAAACGGCGAGAAAATAAAGTAAGAAAGTAAAATAATGACCTTCACGATGCCTCTAATAAATACCCGGGATCAGCTTGTATGGGACTACCTGCAGGTAGCGTTCCCAAAGCTTACCGTACTTCCTGCGGCAACGGTAGTCATCACGGCGCTCGCGGTCCACAAGATGACAGGTGAAGAAGCACACGTAGAAAAACGGAATGAAAGAGTTAAATCCGCATGACGTCCCCCACAAGAATGCCATAATAATATCCACAGTGTAGTGTAGTTTACGACCATAGCGATACCATCCATCCACAAAGAGTTCACCACGTTCGTTTTTTAATACACGGGGATTTTCAATATATCCCCACGGGAGCTGCGGAAACGCCTTCCGTCGAATGATGTATTCCGGCACGCCGCTACGCTTCATGCGGAAACGATTCTTCTGTGAATTCGCGCTGTCCCAGATATAGTATGCCGGAAGGAGAACCATCACCATAAGCATCAATTGCCAAGGTCGGTAGGAACGTTCTTTAAGAACTCTCTGGATGTATAAGGATTGCATGGAATACAAAAAAGGTACCCCGCACGTATTCCAGTACGCCAACATCCATCCAAATTTCTCGTAAAATAAGTCCCAAGTACTAATAATACACTCTTCACCCTTTTGTATCGCATTCACGTACAAAAATTGTGCAAAAACAATAAAATACATATTTCCCGTAATGTAGCCAAGCTCTCGGTACATTGCGGCGGCATTACTTAGGGTTATAACCATCAATAATACCCATGAATTGCGACATTCCGCAAACAGCTTAACGTCCACGTCACCAGGAAGACGAAAGTTAAGAGCTGAGCCCATAAAAAAGTCATAGACAACATTGTTTGACATACGAAGTCTTTTGCGAAGGCCAACAATGTAGACCCAAACCGAAAGGACATCCGCCCAGATGGTGGCAGCAGTTAGGTAATGGCCGTATTCATCATGCACCCTCCAAAGAGGGAGGATTTCGGTAAAATGTAATACGCCTACAATGACCAGCATACAATACCATGCATGAACGGCATTGCATTTGTAGACATAGCGGTAACCACCTTCACTTGGAATGGGAAGTCCCTTGACCTCCATACCGGGAAGCACTACAGCCAAGGTGTACTCCAAAAGTAAAAATCCTGTAAAAATGCCAAATGTTTCCCATGTCGGTGCTGCATTTATACGCACATGCTCCCAAAAAACACTGATCATGTTCTCCCCCTTTAATAGTGGATGACCGGGGTAGATCATTGTGCCTTGAAACTCCATTATGCAAACCATAAAGTAATATATCAGTGTATGGGATATCAATATGATGAGAAAAGTAGCCCAAGGGCCGCCAAATTCATAGTGGCCATCCCAGGTGTCCTTTTCGGGAGAAAATTTCTTTTCCACCGTAACGTTGTAGAGCTCCTCGGGACTTAACTTGCGCTCTGCTGTCTGCGCATTGCGTTTTGGGGTTGTTGAACGCCGGGTTGAAGATGCCCGATGAGTTCCAGTGGTCATGGGACGAATAAGTAAGTAACGGCAGAAATAAAACGTTTAGTTTTTTTTTTTTTTTTCGTAACTTCATCATGGGGAGAGAAAACAAAATAAAGAGAAGCAAAGTAATAAGCATAATAATAACCGGTGTCCTTGGCTGTCTCTTACATTACCAGCCTACCTGCCACCGGCATACACACACAACCAAAAAAAAAAAAAAACTAAGGTGCGTCACGCTACAACAAAACAGCAGAATAAAATAAAAACTTTCCACCGTGGCACTCTCTACAGCCCACATGCCAAGAAACGCAATATATATCGAGTCAGTGTCTATCTTCTCCAACAGCAAAGTAATTCAACAACGCAAGTTTGTATATGTCAGTTGGAAAACTGCCTGACCAGAGGACGCCAGTAGAGAGCAGTCTCCGTTCATAGACGTCAAAGGCTGTGAAAGGTGGGTCACGGTGTTGTTGAAAAGCGCGTCCGCGTCATCAGTGTCTGAAAACCGAACGTCTTCCATTGCAAGCGAGGACAGGAGACCCAATCTTGCGTCGCCACTTTCTCCGTACAACTGCGGCAACTGAAATGTCTGTCCGTTACTACAACGCGTAGTGGACTTCCTTCCGTCGCCAGGAGAAGCAGAATCCTTCAAAATATCAAGTGTATACAACGTTCTGGAAAAACCGCCGGTGCACACTTTGTGATCATTCAAAAAACGTACATTAAACGTTTCCATAACATCTCCCTGAAACATTTGTTCCATTTCCTGCCGGAGGTGTGGATACAGCTCCCACCGCTGCAGCACACAGTACTCGTCATCATCATGCAACGATGAAGATGGCGTCTGCACAGCTCGATCGTGCTGAGAATTGCGACGGACGTCCCACAGACACGTACTCATGACATCACGTCCAGCCACAAACCTCCCACACGGGCTTAGTGCACAGTCAGTGAGTGAGTTAGCAAAAACAGTGTCTTCGTGATGGTACGTGTTTTTAAACACCAACGGTGCCTGCTGAAATAATTTAAGTCGCTGGCGAATGTCGAGCACTCGAACAGCCCCGGCGGTTGTCACAACAAAAAGCAAAAATGGTTCATGAGAAAAGCAGCGAATGCCAAATATGGTCTCCGTAACCTCCTCCTCAAAGGGGGATTTAAGAGCATACGTCTCAATAGACGTGTCCTGGTGCTCGACGCACCACAACTTCACAGTGAGGTCATCAGCGGAGTAAAACTGCGCACTATCCGCCACTGGACAGAGTGAGTTTATGTTGTACTCGTGATTCAAGGCATAACGAGTCACTTCCTTCATCGCAGTCATCCGTGTACCATTAAGTGGGTTCAACGTCAGTGAGGCAACACTTTTCTCGCCAAGGTGATTCACCGCTGAAAAAGGTGAGGGAGACTCTCGCACCCCAATCACCTTGAATAATTTTGGCATTTTCTCGTTTGTCATGAGCAGGTACGTGGTTGGACCTGTTTGAGGCAAAAAACAGAGAGCCTGAACGCATGGAGTCACCTCCACACTGTTCAATGGGTCTATGACTGAGGTGTACGCTTGTCGCCCCACAGCAAACGCATAAGGCCGGTGTACGCGTGAAACAGTTCCACTTGCGCGCGGACGCCTCTCTCCCTTGCTTGCTTCACAGTCTCTGCCGTTACCTTCTAGTTGTTGCTGCTGCGACTGCTGTTTTATACGGTGCAGCAAAAAAACACGACCAGAACGGTCACCTACGGCAACGTATTCCCCAGAACTGTTTGTTGCAAGAGACGATACGTTCAAAGCGCCACTTCGAAAGTACGTGGGGAGACCATCAGCAGCATGTTGCCATGGTTTTCCAGATACATATACTTCGCGTAACATCAGCTTCTCCGAAGCAGTCACATCATCTGTGTCTCTATAAGACCCTGTACAACTTCTTTTTCGCGCGCTCTCATCACCAACACTTGCCGTGGCATCCACATGCCGAAGAAAAGAATAAAAAGCATTGCGTACTTGATGATGACCAAGCAAAGTTGCCTTGGGCGACGAACGACGCAGCGCGTGTTCACTACCTACGTGATTTCCGCATGCTGACGACATGGATGGTGGTGATGCCGGGCTGGAAGGAAAGACACTCACCGAGGGAGTGTGTTTTATTGGCACAGCTTCAGCTTTGTCATAGCCAAGTCTGGGGGACCGCTCTGGTTTCCATTCAAGTTTAGCATCTGCAGTGTCTGCATGTCCATGCAACGCAACAGCGCCTGTGTCCACTTCCTGTGAAACGCCTGTCACGCTGCAACTCCGCGAGTGGGAAGGCCGAGGCGAAAATCCGCCTGGAACGCACTCCTCTACTCGGTTGTTTTGCAGTTTCTTTTGCGCTCGCTTCGCAGCTGCGCAATCCCGATCTATGCTTGAAAGCATTGGCCGCTCTTGCGTCTGCAGTGTGGGTCGTGGGTTGCGTTGGGATCACTCTGCTTTTTCGGGAAAGTAGAGCTGCAAATAAAAACTAAGATAAATTCCCTTTAAAAAAACGAGAGAAAAAATTTATATATATATTTCTCTTTTCTATTCTTTCGTTTTTCCTCCTCTTTCTCTTCCTCGTGCTGGCGCTGTTGATGTCTCGCCCAAAACACACCCCGAGCCTCGACCAAGAAACCATGTATTTCCATAGGCAGACAAACACAGAAACAGGCACACAAAGAAAGAGAGAAAGAGAGGGAGAAAGTGAGGGGGAAAAACGGGCTGCAACTCCCCTCAGAGGTAGGAACTCGCCCTCTCAGCTCCGCATATCCTTCGCATTCTGTACCACTTCCTCGTACGAATACTCAAACTTTTTGCGGAACGCCAAGTCCTGGAAATCGTAGCGTTGCCGGTCGCCCTTGTTGTACATTCGATGGCTCACCCACTCCACAGGACACTGCACGCGGCGTGCCTGCAGATCTCTCCACCAATACGCGTCTTTGTACTCGGGCGGAACAGGGACGTGATGATACACTTGATCTGGCACCAGGTGCGCACGCTCATCCCAGTGCGGATCGTATTTCTCTTGCCACGTTTCCGTGTCAACACGACGATTGGCGTGCACTAATTTGCGCGGGTCATACATGGGCAAGGGATCCCAGTTGTAGCGGTGAATCGATTTCTTTTGCAGCAGACGCTTCAGTTGGTGTGAAAACATCCCCTGCCCCTGTTTGAAAACGACAGGATTTTTACGCCAAACGGCGCTTAAATGAAGCATTGTGTGCTAATGTACAGAAAAACTATCTGCTGTGCTACTGCCCGCCCCTCAGTCCTCCTTTCTTTTCCTCGCAAAAACAAAAACAAAAAAACAAAAAAAGATGGTGCAGAGAAAGCAAAAAAAAGCAAACAACAAGAAAAAAAAAGTTGGAAAAAACATTTTTGAATCTTCCTGCTACTTCGTCAGAAGAAACTTCATCCGCTCACTCAGGGGCCAATACGTGTCCGTGCATGAACGCGCATACCACATCAAAGCAAAAAAAAAAAGTTTAGGTGAGCATGCACACATCCCAGCAAGCAACTGTTGCAAAATAAACATGAGGAAGCAAAGATCCAGGGTATGTTCGTTCCATTCCATTTCCCCATGGCCGCACCCGCACCAACAAGCAGGAAGCTGATGCACCGACAACGAGAACAAGTCCGCAGCAACGGGCACCTCTAATAGAGTTTGGAGAACTTTTATTTGCCGTTTTTGCTCTTGTTCCCCCGTTACGTCTTTCTATCACTCTCTCCTCTGTGCAGCGTTTTTTGTTTCATTTTCAGTTTGTTTGGGTCGCAGCAAACACGCACACACACAATCTATTCCCCTTTTTCTCACCCAATAAACTTATCTATGCGTGCATGTCTGGAATTTAATGTATGTCATAATCAACTCGGAATGCAAGTCATTGCTGACTGCATTAATGCCCACGTCCGTGACGCAAACAGGCATGATTGGTCACACACACACACACACACATACACGAAAAAATGTATACAAAAAATATTTCCCTCCTCTATGTCTTGCATTTATGTATTGATGTATGAGGTGTTTGCGTATATTCTCTCACAGCTTCGCACTCTATGAGTTATTTAATGTATTTATATTTTTCCGCCCATGTGCGTGTGCGCCTCCACTCACTAAAGTTGTTCCTAGATAATCCGTGCATCGGCACACACACACACACATCTATAGCCCGGTTACTCATTTAACGTGCATGTTAATTCTACCGTCGGGCCTTATTTGCTTTGGCACCTCTTCGCATCTTACGCCCCGCCGCGGCACCACGCTGAGAGGCGTGCTGTTGGGCCTCCTTGGGCTGATGCTCGAATCGAAGCACCTCCGCGCCCGCATAGCTTGCGTGGCTCGACACAGGCCTGTTGAAGAGCGGTGCAAGAACTTTAGGCCGTCGGGAAGCCACTGTCGTTGTCGCCTTCACTTTCACGTTTGTTGTTATTGTTGCTGACGTTGCCGCCACCGCCGCCGCGGGAGCCCACGAAACAGGCGCACTATTAGTTCCAGGGTCCTCCAAAGGCAACTGCTCGGTCCGATTTTTAATCGCGTCACGCATCTCCAGAAGTTGCCGAAGCTTTTTTTGTAGCTCGGCAAGTGATGCAGCTGTCACCTTGGCATCATCGCCGTCCTCCTGCGAGGCAATGTTTTCTTCAAGGTATTTGATGTCCTCCAAGATACCCTTCATCCGTCCTGTTAACTGCTGCAACTCCTTCTGGTCATCCTCCAGCGTCTCAGCTTGACTGTTAAGAGTGTCGGCCGCGACGTCTTCGCTTGCATCGTATTCCTCCTCTGTCGTGGCATTGGCAACATCATTTACGGACTCGAGCTTATCAGTCCCGTTTTTTTCTCCCTCACCTTCCACCGCCGTTTCATACACGTCGGCGGCGCCTTGTGTATAGGCTGCATCAACCTCCTCGGCGTCATGTTCGGGCTCATCTAAACCCACCTCCGCATCCTTGGCCTCTTCATGTGCCAATGCCTCTGCAATACTGATGGATGATGGAATACAAATGCCACTCGCATCTGCGTGATGACCAGATCGCCGCAGCCGATCCTGCTCAATCCGCAGCCGGTTAATCTCGCGTCTGTTGTTGATAATCCCTTGTTCAAGTTTGGTGACTATGTTCCGTTCCGTCGCATGCTGCAGCCTTTTTTCCATAAGTAAAATCTGAAACCGAATGGCGTCAATCTTTTCTTGCAAATCATTTGAATGCTTCCCTCGCTCTCTTGCCTGGCGTTCCCGATCCTCCTTGCGTATCCTGTCACGCTCCGCGGCCCAAGCTTCTCTACGACGCACCACACGGATAAAATCTTCCAGTTCCTCCAAATCTGACCGTGAGGTTGCCAAAACAGCCATCAATGTCATGTCATCTTCATCCCCCTCATTTTCCATCTGGCGCTCAAGCTCAGTAATTTCCTTGTGCAGCCGTTCTGCACCGAGACAGAGACCGTCGTACTGATCTGGCGTGCATGCTGGCTCAGTAGAGAAGCTGATATTACTGCTAGTGTTCGGTACTACTTTGCTTGCTGATTCACACGCTTGCGGAAACGTTTCATGGATGGTTGGTGATTCTGCCACCTTTGTCAGCGGTGTCTGTGCACCACTGCACTTCGGCTCTTCATTTGCCCCTTCGTTCCAGATCATTGACTTGGCCTCCTGAAGTGTTCGCTCCAGTTCTGCCTCCGCCTCGACTGCAGCTTGCTCTGCCTGCTTTTGTCTTTGCAGAGCGAGTTCGGCCTCTCGCTGCGCCTGACGAGCCTCTTCACGTTGTTTGCCAATAATTTTTACCCGTTCTTCACGCTTGCGCAGCAGCTCTTCTTCTAAAGCACGTGCACGTGCTTCTGCGTGCTCGCGTCGCATTTGCCTTTCTGTTTCCTCACTTTTCTGCATCTCCAGTTTCTTCTGTTCCGCCTCCTTTGCCTCACGCTGTGAAACACTCTTAATCGTATCTTCAATCTTGAGCAGCGTGTGAATTGCTTCCTCCAACTTATTCAGAAGCAACCCCTCGTCCAGACGACGCTTTTCTTGCAATGACTCAATCTCCCGCCGTAACATAAGCGCCGCCGAAGACAACACCTCAATCTCCTTCAAGGGTGAAACCGTGTTGCAGTGTGCAGAGAGGCACTTCTCCGCCCCGCATTCTGCTGTTTGATCTGAGGCTTCCTCATCCCCCAATTTGTCTTCGGCGGCATCATAGTTTTTTGTAGGTTGTTCTCGTTGTTGTTGCTTCGCCTGATCCAATCGAGTAAAAAGGGATGATGTCATCAAGGCGGATTTTTCTCCTTGAATATCTTTTGCATTCATGTCCACAGATGTCGCGCCCTTGCCCTTAGTTGACAGCTCCTCCGCATGAGTATAATTCTTTGCGTTGGAAAGAGAAGTTGGTAACCTCCCCGGAGCGTCCGCCCTTTCTGTGCGTCGTAATTGCCTCATCTTTTCAAGTTGCCCTCGTAAACGTGGGATTTCCTTCTGAGCCGCAGCAAGCTTCTCTTGCAACTCACTAGCCTGGTCAATGCTGTCTGTGTTCAAAAGTCGACGACGTATCTGTGATGCCTCCACCTTCTTCTTGTGATACGCATTGGCAAGAGCTTCGTAGGACTCAGGAGTGTATGCACGACGATCTTCATCGAAGGAATGACTTTCAAGCCTCGCAGAGGCAGCTGATGGACTTTCAGAAATCACTGTATTCTGTCCCTTTCCAAGTGAAAACTCTCTTACGCAGCGGCCAGAGGGGTGGCTGGCCTGACGCAAGAAAGGCGTAGCATCAATGGCATGTTGCAGCTTTGCCTCCTCATCACCGTCCACGCTCGACGCCTCACGCTGGATGCGCTCAAATGTCCCCTCCACGCTGTCCTTTTCAGACACGTTGGCCCTTCTTGACTTGGCAGGTTTTGACAGGGCGGGCGTCCCCATGAGGCGAATCGCCTCCGTCACAGATGGTTCCGTGTCCTCCGTCACCTTGCGGCGTATGAGCAGTTTGGAGACTGGGATGGGCCGCTGTTCAGCCGTTCGCTCAGCGTCATCAATTGGTAGAGCCTTTGGTTTGTCATCCCCCGCGCTAAGCTCCAACTCCGCCAGCTCAATGTAATCTCGAAATTTTGAAAGGTACAACAGGCAGTCGCGATCCGTCATCACCTCCTGGTTCCAGCCAAATCGCATCATAACAATCTTTACAGGCTCCCACGAGAGATGAATGCTTTCGTAGCGTCGACGAAGAAAATCCTCCACTGACCAATCGAGAATGACATCCGTTTCAGCGGAGCGATAAACGTGAAGACGGCGACATGCCTTCAAGTCAGAAAGGGAACGCCGAAGAAGGTTCGAATAAAGAAACGGTGCCATGTGATGTAGTTGACGAACTGTAAATGGATAATCCGTGAGTTGAAGCAGAGGTCGAAGACATCGATTTATGGCTTCCAAGCTGTAACAACCAGCGGATTTAATTTGTTGTCGCTGACGTGTGGCGTTCTTTTCCATGCGACGGAGAAGATCTGCAAAAAAAGGATGATTTTTCACATTTTTGAACTCATCTTTCCCTTCCATGCATTCACTCTCCTCTTCATCCACATCAGCCTCATGCTCCTTTTCGCTCTCTATGCCTTGCCCCACCTCGTCGTCGTGTGTTTCCACTCTCCCGAGCATGTTACACTCCTCATTGTCGGTAAAATGTACACTGGTCATTTTACCCACGTTGTAAGGTTCTTTGGAGCGTATGGGACTCGTGTAGACTTCTGCCACATCATCCTCCATGTTGTCATCATCGTTGTTCAGCTCCCCTGCAGAGCTCCGAGAGGGCGCATTGGCGACAACAACAGACTTACTTCTGGCACGTCGGGTATCGGTAGTCATGCCATTCTCCGTCTCCACCTCATCATGACTGTAAATTTTGGTCACGTCATCTTCCACGTCGTCATCCTCATCGTTGTTCCCCTTTGACGTAACTCGATTGGCAAAGGAGCTTGTGAGCACCACGGTTTCGCGCTTTGGTCGAGCATAGCTATCATACCTTCTCTTTAGATTTGGAGGGGCATGCACTTCTTCATCGTCATCGTAATCTTGCTGCTGTCCCTGCCTGCTCTCTACGGTGGAACGTGTGTGTCCATCCGCAACTTCCATCTCATCCAATTCCTGCGTCTGGGCGTCCGGGAAAAGCACCCCCGTCTTCTCCAGCGTCCCAGGGGTATTATTTCGGGCAACCCTACTCGATGGAGCACGATGCATCTCCCGCTTCACCACACGATCACCGACATGAAACTCGGGCCTCGTGTTTAGTGTGCGCTCTCGATTCTGACGATGCGAACCTCGATTGCCGTTTCCGGCCATGAACGAGCCTGCAGCACGACTTGATACCAAAGGCAAATGCAGCACCCTGGTAAGAAGCACGCGTCGCATCATGGCACTCAATCCTATTCTCTATCGTGCTTTATTTAGGTCCTTAGGGTTCTCTTTTGTTTCTTTCCCTTCTCTCTGAATTATTTTTTGCTTCTCAATTAACTATGCTGCTCAGAAACAAACAAACGAGCCCGGTAAAAAGTTCGCTTTACAGAGAGCATCATTGATGATGGTGGTAGAGACACACAGAGAGAGAGAAGAAAAAAAAAAAAAGCAGGTAGCACGCATAGACAAAAAAAAAGGCACAAAAATATCTATAACAGTAACCAAACTCCACAGGGAAAAAGAGTAGGGGTTAAACAACTGCATGGTCTTATTACATGAAACAGTGCCTTTCTTCCTGCCCTCTGTTTCTACGAGGTGATTTGAAAAGTAGCACATTCACACTCAAACAACATCAACAACAGCTCCGCGAGAAAAGTCATCCGAGTTATAAACATTACTGTTGTCTCTTCGCGTTTTCACGGCTCTACTCCGTTGCAAGTACATCCGCAAACTCCTCGTAGTATATACGGCCACTTTCAGGGTCAGCAGCTGCGGCTAGAAACTGCTCTACCTCCTCTTCAGTAAAGGGTTCCCCCCCACTACGCAGAAAACGTCGCATCTCCTCCGCTTCCAGGTAACCACGCCTAGCCAAATCCAACACAGAAAAAGCATGATAGATGGCCTCTTCACTGTCGCGAACGACAGAAATTGGCATTATTCTTGAGGCGGGAGACGCAGTAGCACGTTTTTTTCGCGAAGTTGTGGCTGGCAGTGCGGCCCTTGGGGGAGCCATTACACCCGTCATGAGAGCCTCAACTATTACCTCTTTCAACGCTTTTGCAGATACAACTCCCCGAGACGCCGCATCGGTTTCTTCCACCATCTCCAATAAACATAATACCTCCTTATTGGATAGGTTAAGACCCATCGCACGGGCAATGTACCCAACTGCTAGCACTGGAACCTCACTCATTACAAGGGTCGTAAGAGTCTGTGAACCTCGGGTGGTCTCTTCAGTCGCTACAAGAAGCTCATCGAAGAATTTGGCATGTTTTTGACGTCTAAGTTTATCTTGAACCGAAACCAACAACTGCCTTGCACCCACAGTTGTACACTGAACCTCGGCATCCCCGTTTTTCGTTTCTTTCTTGGTTTTAGTCATGGATCCTCCCCTCTTCGGTTGCCCTCGTGGCTTCTTGCGCCCACCTCTCATTTCTTACGCAGCGCAGGCTTTCCCGAAACCAAGTTTCCCGCATACGCGCACATACGAAAAATAAAAAAAAGGTGGGGATGTAATGACAAGGTCAAAACCACAGCTGCAGCTAATCAAACGCAAATAAATAACATCACACACATGTTACCAACGCAAACACTGTTATTTCAGCACAACCCAGGCACATCAAAAAAAAAAAAAAACACTGCCGCAGTAACTGTACCAGCCTGTCCTAAAACCATTCTAGATATGTTACAGAAAAACCGCAAAAAATAATAATAATAATAATAAAGGAAAACATTCTAGTTCCTCCAACAACGATAGATTATGATTTTTTGTCAATTACAATATGACGTGTTAACTTAATATAAACATTTTGGATAAAAGCTTCTTAATTCGTGCCTCAGGAGTAGAAAACCTTTTCCCCATGAGAGGATCCCCATAGATCTGATCCGCCAAGTAATATAAAGCAAGAAGAAACGTACCCACAGAAATAGCTCCCTCCTCCGCCTCAGGATGCTCTTCTTTCTCTACAGCACAACAGCAAAGAAAAATATGACGCAAAACTGGCTTACGAATAAGTGGCAATAATTCGTGTCTACGGGCCAGTTCAACAAACCCATCCAAGTTCATCACAGTGGCTGAGTATCCCTGCGCGGACCTAATGGCTATGGTATAGCCTTCTTTGATGGGTCTCATAAACTCCTTTACAATAGAAGCTACAGCATTCGTTTTGTATGACGGAATCAAAGTGTTTTTCACGGAAAGCAATGTATCATTACCTTCACAATTTCCACCGAAGCCAGGATGCAAAACTAAACCGTGTAAACGCTCTTTTTCCTCTATAACCGCATCAACATATGGAAATATGTGATACAACAAAAATGCAAGAAATACGTCTTTCGGTTTTTCATCTAAAGGACTTGCTGTAACACAAAGCGTTGTACCATCTGAAAGTCGTCGTAACCGACGCTTCTCCATCGCAAGAAGATAAAGGGCCTCTCCAAACAATTCCTTTGGAATTGTCTCGAGGCGCTGAAAAGCAAAAAGGTTTTTCTGTTGTGTCGCGGAAACATACCTCCCCAATGTTATACCTCGGTTTTGAGCCTGAACGTTATCAAGGTGTTTGCGCTGACTTCTGTTCAGTGAGCGCATCACCGCCATCCAAAGTAACTCGGCGGAAGTTCCCTGCGAAATCCCGCACAGTTGACAATCTTTTAGCATACGCGAAAAATGAGTCATAGTCATCGTAGGGTGAAACACCTCAGTTGATGACGCCGTATAAAAGTCATACATTGTATTTATGCGATCCTTGTATGTTTCTAATATTGCATCCACATCTTTCTTTTTTTCATTCGGATTCCCATCGTCGTCATCACCACCGTCATGTAACATTGTGTTTTTATTAACAGAAAAAGCAACTCCCTGTAGTGGTTGGACTTCAGGGGGGACGACTATCATTTCAGTAGGAACTGGCGCAACTGCAGGATAAACATGCCCAGTAGCGCGAGCCAAATACAAACAAAACTCCGAAAGCTGTTTAATGCGTTCCTCCAATTTCGACATTCTCTCTTGGTAGAATCGATCTTGATACATCACCAATTGCTTCACTTCCGCTACTTGTTGTTCCATGCTTTTCCGGAGATCCCTTACCTCTGTTGTAATGAGCTTCTTGAGAAGTCCTAAATGTTTACTTGCATGCTGGATCTGTTGTTCTGCATGATAAAGACGAGCTTCTACAGACATCTAAGGCATTCAATCCTCAAGGAGATCTACAAATAAAAGATATTTCCCCTCCTGAATATATATATATTTCCTTTTGTCTAAATACAGAACAAAAAAAAAACAGTGTGTGTGTGTGGAAATAATAATAGGAAGGAATCATGTTAAATAAGGCGATCAGTTCCAAAAAAAAAAAAAAGAAACAGCTAAACAAATCAATAAAAAAAAAGCGGCGAAAGCAAAAAACTCCAAATACAACGCTGGGACAAGCACTAACATGTAGACCTTTTTTTTCTTTTTATTTGTGCTTCTTTAAATAAATCTCATTTCTCAACATATTTCCCCCTTTTCCCCCTCTGACCCTTGTTGCTGTTCATCATGTAAACATAAAAGTTGCAAAAAGTACAATGCAATAATTTTTGAAAAAAAAGCCTCCCACTTGAAGTTATACTATGGACTCTACTCATTCCCAATCCTCCAAGCTGATACCATTCTCTGATCGTTCCCACTTGGCCTTAGTTTGTTTCATCACATAGTGAAGTACTGTATGCTGTAGCACACCAATTCGCAGTGACATTTGCTTGATTTCAGCTCTCACCTTTATAACAGCGTCCTTCACCTGCATCAATGGTGTCGTATCGGAAATTTTTGTTTCTCGATCCTCAATGTCCCTTTTTACCTGGTCCAACAATCCACTTAACTGGTTCAGCTCAGATGACAGTTGTTGAACACTCTGACTCGCCATATTTGCAGAGTCTTGGGAGGTGTTAAGCTCACGTAATTTTACCCTATAGTCTTCTACTTGTTCAGTAAATTGCTGTGCAAGCGTTTGCTCGCGCTTCTGGATGCGATCCTTTGATTTCTCCAAATCATCTGCCACGTGCTGAAGCATCTGTCTCACCTCTGGATACATTTTTTCGACAGCCTTGAGTAAAACAGTGGCACTTTCAACTCTCAAACGCCAATCTTGAATGACATCTGACCTTACCTGTAGAAGAGGTCCCACACGTTCCACTTCCAAGTTCCATTCTTCAGCATTAATCTCAGATTCTACAGGAATCCCAGTATCTTCTTTAGCTGACCTTTCTCCAGTGGCACGAACATAGACTTCGTCTTCATCATCACTTTCTATCATCACGTTGTCTTCTACCTCCTCTCCAACACCGTTATCATCATCAGCATCAGTCACTCCATCCAGCTCATCATACTTTTCCACATGGGTATAATCAACGGCACGGGGAGTAAAACCTTTCTTAAGGAGAGCATGATCTACAAGAGCTGATAAAATAGTCAAAACTGCATCTCCACTTCCTTGACGAATTCGATTTGGGGCAAGATTTGGAGCTGATATGCCCATAGCACGCAATTCTCCCAATATGTTAGTTGAAGTTGCGTTTGGATCATCAAACTGGCCGGGAGGTTCAAATTCATGTCCAGCTAAACCCATAAGCCAAGAACATAAAGATGTAAAGTAATGAAACTGAGCATTTGGATTATCAATTGAAGACGGCCTAGAAAAATAATACTTGCTTAAAGGCTTAAATGCAGGCTTGACACGCAAACAAAACTCCGTCTCGTAACGAAAAATTTTCAGTTTATCAATAATATCCTCCATGGTACCATCGTCTATAGTGACACCTTTGCTGGAAGCGCTGGGACCAGTTGATTGTTGCGGACTTTCTTCCTGAGACATTGCCTTCTTCTAGATATTTCTACGTATACTCAATTATAAAAAAAAAAAATGACTGAGGATGGACAAATCAACAGTATCAAAAAAAAAAAAAAGTAGGACAAAAAAGACAAAAAAAATTACCCCAATACTT